GAAAGGGGTAGTAGGATTGGAAATCATTCATCGCCCACAAGGCTGAGGAGACGCGTTTTAACTCGTCATCAAGACAGGCATGTGAAAACTGGACAGCTCCAGTAAATATGCCACTGTCCATATAATACAGACTCCCAAGAATACGAAATGCATTGTTAGAAATTGCTAATCCATTCATTTCAAATTAACCAATACAAGACCTGAGAGCCACTCAAGTTAGAGAGGGACTGACAAAAAATGTAATGATGAATGAAGGTATATGAAAGATAGACTAGGTGATAAGTAGTGAAGATTATGAGGATAAGGAGAATAGTTAATGATTGATTCTTGAATTGGAGAGGTTCACGTTGTAGTGTCCAGGGAGGCATCCATGCGGGAGTCTGTTCCACAAAGTGGCATTTCTTCAAAGAAAGCTGAGCAGAACTTTCTTCTTACATTTAGAACACGGAGAAAATTAGGTGGTTTCGAGTCCGTGGAAGTAGACAGTGGAGTCCCAGCACTTAAAGTTTGAAACTAACGAATGTAAGACATCTGATGATTTGCCAACGTTATAGCGATAGATAGCTGCGTCTGTAGGAAAGAGGCTGTAGAGTGGAAAATAAGAGCAGGTGAACGATTTCGAACTCAAAACACTTACGGCCACGTTACGTTGAAACACTGATTACCGTACGATCAACGTCGGGCGTGGTCAGTATCTAGATGAGTGACCGCTGGGAAATAGCAGCTGCTGTAATCTTGGATGTGCAGGTGGTGTAATCGATAATGATTGAATTGTTCATCAGAGAACCGAGTTTCCCGTTGGGTTCATTTTATTCACTGCAAATACGCTTGGGAAAGGTATGCATCCACCATTTCTCTCCCAAGCTATAGGTTAATTAGTAAAACTTGTATCACTTAAACATTACTATCTCTAAAAAATCTTACTACCTAAAAATATAAGCTGGCTTTGAGTAACTTGCAATGGGTTGTTAAGTCGTAGAAAACGAATCAATCAATCAATTAAAAGGCTGAAAAGGGAGTATTGAACAATTCCAGTCCATGTATGCTATAACGGTCGTAGAATGCAATTCGACCTGGACAGTGCATTAAAAAGGTTACAAGAATAATATGTAAGACTCTTCCAAAAGAAATTCAGACAATTCTTCATCTAGATAATAGAATTAGAGTAATGAATAATGCAATTTTGTCAGGTGTCAATTTCGATTAGACAATTCTGGAAGTGAAAAGTAGCATAAAGTTGCTAAATTCTTAATACTTGACACCTGACTATTACGACTGTTAGTGTTTTTCTTGAATGATACATACTATTTTCAACTTCCTAGATATTTTTGTAGAAAAAGTGTTCCTATTGACGAAGAATACTTATTAAAAATTATTGATCACTTATTTATGTGTTGTACGCCACCCAGGACGTATGCGATCATGGCTCTCCACAATTTCCTCACCTTTGTAGCTCTTAATAAATTTTGTCTTTTGTTATTTCACCTAAGATTTACTCAATCTCACTATGTTATGCATTGTTTTCGTCTCTTGCTCTCAATCTGTCCTGTTAGTATCAGATTTTCCAAGCCATCCTTCCTCATCTGCCCCAGAAATTTCAACTGTATCTTCCTGATATTCAATATAGGTTTCCTTTTTATTTTAATTTTCTCTAAAACCTCGCCGTTGATCATATGCCCAGTGCATGGTATTCTCAGCAGCCTTCTGCAGAACCATATTTCTGCATGTGAACAATTCGTGATATCATGAAAATATTTTATTCTATATCGTCATTTCTTAAGGAAGCTGATGATTACACTGATCAAGACTTTTTTGTATCGTTACTCTTCAGAACGTAAGCGTGTGACTCTTCTTAACTTCCTATACTTGTAGCTCTTCATCCCTTTACTATCTCTCCCACGCCCTTTTCCTACCATTATTTTACACATGCTCGTTACGTAGGGTACTCACTGTTTCCGAACATTCATCTTGCCGTCAATATGTCCCGTGAAAGTTAAATTCTGCAAGCCTCTTTCCGCATTATGTCTCTCATAAATTTTAACTGACTTTTTCTAATTTTAATTAAAGTATAAATTTATTCCATTTTTCATAAAATCTTCCGCGTTGCCCACATATCTCGCCAATTGTATTCTCAGCATCCATCTGTAGTGCCATATATGTGTTGTTAAAAATCTCCACTTCATCTGTGAAGAAATGGTCCAATAGTGACTCCGATGGAGGACGAGGAAATTACACAGTAGTTCAGAACTCGTTTCTTTCTGTGACATCCGCATTTTTATATATAAACACGTGCAATATAATAAATCCTACATTTGCCTTGATGAAGTTCATCAGAGCACGAAAGTCGTCTTTATATATATATATATATATATATATATATATATATATATATATATATATATTCAAACAGGTTTGGTTAAATAATATCTTTAGAAAATAGAGTAAGAAAAATACTCAATTTTTTTCAAATATTTTTTTATTTTCCCAAGTACTTTCAATCTCATCTGAGACCATCTCCAGAGGGTTAACTTAACTGTGAGTATCTGCTTCTGTGAATTTAAAGTGAGAATTGTGAATCTAAATCTAGCAAAATATTAATCTTTGAACTTGAAAGGATCATAACGAAAACTAATCAACATATGTGTAAATTATTTAACCAAACCTGTTTGAATGAAAATATGCTGCTATATATATATATATATATATATATATATATATATATATATAGATAGATAGATAGATAGATAGATAGATATCCAAGAAAGATTCACAACATTTAAGTTAAAAGTAAAGTAAACCTTATAAGCACACCCATTTTTTTTCGTAAAAAGAGCCTGTATTTTGCTTTAAATCTAAATAACTCGTTCACTCAGCAGTATTTTACAATCGCCTGATGAGATGCGTTGATACTCATCGAAACATGACTGCAATTGTGTAGTGATTTTGACATGTTTTCGATGTAGTATCCTAAAATAAAAGATATATATATATATATATATATATATATATATATATATATATGTGTGTGTGTGTGTGTGTATTGTGTGTCTGTAAGTGTGTCTATGTGTGCGTACGCACTATATATATATATATATATATATATATATATATATATATATATATATATATATATATAATGAATAAAAAAACGCGTTTCGTCCTCTGAAGGACTTTATCAAGGCAAATGTAGGATTTATTTTGTTGCACGTGTTTGAATACAAAAATGGAATTGGTTTATCAAAGCTTTTTAACTTTGAGAACGTTTATGAATGTTTATTTGGTCAGTCAGAACCCGTGAAGGATACACAGCGCCATAATTTAACGTCTAGTAAAACAAAAGTAAACGAGTAATATTGTTATATTTTGGGATGGACTTCTTTAAAAACATGAGTTGATCGACTTGACCGTTTCCTTTTTATTTTTTTTAACATCTCTTAGTGCGTCCCATTTTGAGTTTCCATTGTGTACCTCGTATCTTCTTTTCACATTGTCTATGTATTTTTCTTTTAGGTTAGAGTCGTTCAGGAGTTTGTTGTATTGCAGTTTCTGTGCTGCGTTAGGCTTCTTCAATTTCCGCAGTTTCGCTCTTAGTTTACATATAAGAGAGCGATGATCGCTTCCGCAGTCGCCACTTGGGTAGGTTTTGCAGTGAATCATTGCATTCCTGAATATTTTGTTGATAGTTATATAATAAATTTGGTTTTTAGTTTCTCCTCCTCGGCTACTCTATGTCCATAGTCGTCTCGGATATTATTGGAACCATTTGTTGTCCATTACTTGGTTATTGGCTGTGTACCATTGGATCCATTTTTCTCCGCGTTCGTCGCGGGTTCCTAATCCGAATCTTCCTGCTATGTCCCCTGCCCTTTCCCTGTCTACTTTGGTGTTAAGGTCTCCTATTATAATGATGGCTTTTTCGTCGCATTTGAGACTCAAACTTGCGAAAGATACATAAAAGTTGTCTGCCTTTGATTAAAAAGGTTTGAACTTAACTTAGACAAATTCCTGTGATTTGCATCGAGCCCTGACACTGTCCAGTATGGAGTAGAACGATTCGATGTCATTTTCCATACTTTCTGCGGTCGGTGCGTACACTACTATAATAGCCACGTTGAAAGTCTTTTCTTTCAGCTTCACTACCAGAATTCTTTCGGAAAGCTGGTGGTATCCTAGAACTCATTTCCCAAGTTCGCTATCTAGTACTAGTCCTACTCCTTTGTCGTTCTTTTCACCGCCTTCATAAATTATCCTGTGTTTGTCGCTGACGAAGTCACCGTTGTTTGGCCATCTCGTTTCACATACACCTAGAATGTTGATGTTAAGCCTGTTCATGTCTTGTTTAATATTATCAAACTGACCGCAGTTGTTCAGTGTACGAAAGTTCCATGTACCGAGGGTTATTTTGTGTTTGATGCGAGCAGTCGCAGGATAACGGTCCGGTGTCACCTGTCACTCATGTCGTTCCTTTCTGGGCGAGGGATACATTCCGAGGATTTTATCCCCTTTACGCCGTTGATGCTAACAGTCGCTGGATGACGGTCAGGTGACACCTGCTGCGCATGTCTGTCCTTACAAGGCGAAGAGTTAATTCCCCTAGACATAACCTTCTTCACGCCGTTAGGTTTCGCATTATCTGAGTTGTTAGCCATGATTTGTCTTGGAATTGTTTCTCGTTGCCTTCTCAACGGTTGTTTAGGGAGACAGCACCTCTAATTAACTGACCGTTGACTCAGTGAGTTCCTCCGCCCTTTGTTAGGTCTTGTTTTTCGTCCTAGTTGCTTGGAACTCGGAGTGGGATAGTCGGTTTAGTCGCCGACATTTCGACTGGGATACTTACCGAAAGGTGAGGGAAAAAAACAATTTAAATTTTAACTTAAAGTCCTGATACCCCTTACTAAAATACTAAAAAAAAAGGAGGGAAGACATTAAATTCACTTCGCTTAGAGAAGAAAGATTTGAGAAACAAGAAAAGTAAAATAAATAGTAGCAAAAATAAAAACTGAAGGGAAGAGAAAGATGAGGAAAAGTTCGCCATATTTGATCCCAAGACCGAGGCGAATGCGGTAATCTGACCGTTTAAACCGAAAAAAAAATCACTTCACGACTGTGTCCAGTTGCTTCTTCTCGGTCATTTTATATTCAAACTTAAGATGAAGTGAATTAAATTCAGTACCATTAGAAAAAGGACAGTTATGGAAACTAATCTAGAACAATTAGAAGTAACGAAAGAATAGATTAATACTTAAATAAATAAGTAATTTTGGAAAGAAACAAAGAAAAAAATGTAAGAAAAAGAAAAAAAGTGTAGGAAAACCAAGAAGGTGTCCAAGAATGAATCTTAAATACGTACATGTTACTTACACACGGTCCTCATCTTTGTCGCCATATTTATCACAACGTTTCGGTTGTTGTACGCTCCGGCCTTCTTCAGGTGGTTGAAATGTCGAACTGAACTCTTTATTACGCTCACTGGGGTAGGCTGTTCTAGTTCTACGTGCCATGTTTGATGGATGTCAGTTATCAGTTATCCCCTGTTAATTTCCCTCTGAAAGTTCTCCACTGCCTTAACTGAGTATTGAACTCACACTCTTTGAGTTCTGTCACTGGATCTAACCAACGCCTTTATCCACTGTGCCATGTGTCCTTGAGGAGATCTGGGTATTATAAACCTAATGTCTTCAACAACCATTTTTACCAGAGCTCATATTGCAACTTTTGTTGTTATCATTGCTTTTCTCTGGCACTCCTTATTACTACTTTCCATATTGTATTTATTTCTATGCTTGGTCGGCTCAGGAGATTTTTGTGGCCTAGCATATGTGCTGATTCCTTAAGTTTATGAATTTTCCAATGGTGTTCCCTATCTATGATCTGAACATGATCCCACAGAGGGTGGTGATCTCCCTTCTCTCTCCATATATGGCGACAAAGATGAGAACAATAGTCCGAATAATGTAAATAATGTACATAATACCTCATCTCAGAAATATAGACAGAGTTTAGCTAGTTTTAAGAAACCGGGGAAATCACCGAATGAAGAGAAAGATACAAGGTTAAAGAACTTTTTCAATAAGGGCAATATATCTCGGAACCAAGTCGTAGAAAAAACCATATAGTTGTCCATTCATTAACTCATAGCGTAGCACAAGGAAGAAAGTAGGGAATATCCAGTGAGGATCGAACTCACTACTCAGTCGTAATTGATCAAGCGAGACAAGGTTGTTAACCGTCAGACGACCTCCTCAAAGTGCATCATTCGTAGACGCATAAAAGCCACAAAACTTCAAACAATGTTAAAAATACCAGAGCGATCAACAATGGCATGAAAGTGATATAAATGTGATTGTTGGTCGGTAATAGCACAATTTTACAAACATTAAAAGTATTAGAAATGAAAAATCAAATAATATAAAATTGATGAAATTAAAATAAATTAAAAACTGATGAAAATTAAATTACAAAAAAATGATAACAGAATTAACAATTTCGTGACTATCGAAAAAGAACATTTAAAACGATTTCTGTTTGTCGAAAATTATTTTTGTTATTTTCCTCAGATTCACATTCGCTGTTAAAATTATCTAGGTTTATCCTATATTTTCCTTGCATGTGTCAGTTTCGTAGGAAGAATAGGTGGCGCCAATATTCAAATTGAGGCAGACCTATTTATCTCGAATACCGGTATTCCGTATCCTGGTTTATGATATTTACTAAGCTGAGGTTAATAAGGAGCAAGTCAGAAAGAAGGAAATACAAATAGGAAAATTGTCTTGTGGTAATTTTTCAAGTGGGATGGGTTTGGCGAGGACAGGGCTAAGGCTTTATTTGAAACGATGAGGATTAGTAAATGTCAAGATAATAAAGATAAGAAAAATAACAGACTGATAGATATGAACAGAGAGAAATAGATATAGATAGATAGATAGATAATGAACAATCCGAGATAGATAGATAGATAGATAGATAGATAGATATATAGATAGATAGATAGATAATGAACAATCCGAGATAGATAGATAGATAGATAATGAACAAACCAAGATAGATAGATAGATAGATAGATAGATAGATAGATAGATAATGAACAATCCGAGATAGATAGATAGATAGATAGATAGATAGATAGATAATGAAGAAACTAAGATAGATAGATAGATAAATAGATAGATAGATAATGAACAATCCGAGATAGATAGATAGATAGATAGATAATGAAGAAACTAAGATAGATAGATAGATAAATAGATAGATAGAAAATGAACAAACCAAGATAGATAGATAGATAGATAGATAGATAGATAGATAGATAGATAGATACGGATTTTCTAAGCGTAGCTTTGATGTGGCGCACGGCAGAAAGTATGGAGAACTCAGTGAGGATAAAACTCACTACTCGTTCGTAATTGATCTAGCGTGATAGATAGACAGATAAAACATAGATATATAGACATGTATGAACAGACTGAGATAGTAATTTATAAAGCATAACTTGGCACAAGTCCGACTATATGGATTAGCGAGTGAGGATGAAGCTTTCTAACAATTACAGCATGTCGAAGTGATCCTATAGGTAGATAGAATAGCTTAGATGTGGCAGAAAGTATGGAGCGCTCAGTGAGTATAAATCTCACGACTCGTAATTGATATAGTGAGATAAGCTTACTAACAACTACCCCACGTCGAAGTTACTAGATAGATAGATAGATAGATAGATAGATGGATAGATAGATAGATAGATAAAAATGGATATATATATGAACAGACTGAGATAAACAGACAGATTGATATACAGACATAGATATGAACAAACTAAAATAGATAGATAGATAGATAGATAGATAAAAATGGATATATATATATGAACAGACTGAGATAAACAGACAGATTGATATACACACATAGATATGAACAAACTAAAATAGATAGATAGATAGATAGATATAGTTTTGAATGATTGATTTGTTTAATGAGATTGATTAACATTTGAAGGCTATTTAAAACCAAGAATAAAGATAATAATGGTTTAGTGATACAAGTCTTACTAATTAACCCATTAAGAGAGAAGAGGTGGATTCATTCGTTAGCCAAGGGTATTTGTACAAAGTCAATATAGCGAATATAATAGGAAATGGAACGCGACTCTCTGATTAAGAATTTCATTACACTACCATCACATCCAAGCTTGCAACACCTAGTATTCCTAAACAGTCACGGATCTAGGAACTGACCAGGCTCCATCGTACGGGAAGTGCTGTTTCAAACTGATGGGAACGTAAGACATTATATATATATATATATATATATAGATAGATAGATAGATAGATAGATAGATATGAGTATCGATGTTTTTAGTACAGAGACAGCTTACCTTAATATTACTTTTTTGAAAATCATTCTTATTGTTGGGAATGACCAAAGTGTTTGTGACTTAAATTTTAAAAAAAATACCTACATTAGTTTGAACGTTACTATTGCATGATGTGTTGAACCATACGAGGTTACGTTTGTGTTGTTTTGGTTTAACCCACCTTGCTTTTATCTTTATTGGGATTTTTCTACAAACTCTAATTTCACTTTATGATTTCTGTATTTTAGCGCTTTGGTATATCGGTTTAATTATCTTCAAATATTTCTTTTTTATGAGAGTTGGTCGATAACCTAAATTGTACTAATTTGTGTAAATTTTCAAGGATCTTTTGCTTGTGGTTGGATTTTCTGTCAACGTAACTGTAGTTGTATGAAACTTTAGCGTATGTTTTATACTGAGCCTTACTCAGGTCTTAATGTAACGTCTATGAAATAGAAAACTTTAGCGTTATTATTGGTGGTAATATTCAGTTTATGTTAGTTAGGTATTAGGTATTATGTTAGTTAGGCATATGTTATTTAGTTAGGTAATTTCTCATCCGGTCTGATTGTGTTGGTCACAAGAATGACAATTATCCAGTGGTCTCTGTATATACCGTATATTTTTTATGTCAGAGATAAATCTGAGTCTCCATGGTAACAGTATCCCTACAATTTTGCATACTTCCGCATAATCATGTGTTCCCATGGATACGCAAAAGCTTAGGTCCATAGACATCCATCGCGGTATAATATTGGTTTCTGTGCTATCGACGTGGATATATATATATATATATATATATATATATATATATATATATATATATATATATATATATATATATATATATATATTCGACTCTCCTGTCGTATTCGACGCATGAGGGTCAAGCAGCACAATTACTAGGAACCATCAGCCAGACGCAAGGACATGTGATTTGATTATAGTCGTGAAGTTTTCGTGCAGAAACGTCCACACTTTTTGAAATGCCGAATACAGGGACCAGGTGTACTGAGTGCCACAAGGTCCTCAAACGATCCTCCGCAGGTGTTGAAATGAGAGATGTCCTTCTCCTAGACCAGTTGCCATCCAAGGCTATAGAACCCACTCTGTCCTGCTATTAACCCATAGCTGGAGGGAGAAGAAGAGGGTTAATACCTTTACCAAGGTTATTAGCACATAAGTGAATGTAATGTATTCAACTGGAATTCGAACTCGGCTCTCCGATTCTTCAATCCAATCCTCTATCCATTACTCCACCGTGCCTCATCCACACACACACACACACACACACACACACACACACACACACACACACACACACACACATATATATATAGAGAGAGAGGGGGGACAGAGAGAGAGAGGGGGGAGAGAGAGAGGGGAGAGAGAGAGGGGGGACAGAGAGAGGCAGAGAGACAGACAGAGAGAGAGAGAGAGAGAGAGAGAGAGAGACATGAACAGAGTTTGATACCTATGAACATACTGAGATAGTCATGAACAGATTCAGTTAGAAAGATAAATGGAGGAATGGACGGAAAGTAAAAGGCAGATTAAAATAGAAACGAAGACAAACATAGAACTGATTATGTCGATATCTTCATTTAAAACCTTGAGAGTGTGAAAGAAAAAAAAGATTATCTGAGTCCAAAAAAAAAAAAAAGAGGAGAAGGAAAAGGGGAAAAAGAAGAGAACATAAATTAAGAGAGAAAATTACTATGGAATAGTTTCATATAACGGCAGTGATAAAGAGATAGAGAGAGAGAAAGAGGAAAATATGGAAACGGCTACAAATATCCAGAGAATATGAGATAGAAATAACACTCCGAACACATAGAAAGAGCAAAAAAAAAAAGAAAGAGTGAAAGAAAAAGAGAGGAGTTATCGTGTATACAGAAATCTAGAGAAAAGTGCAACTGGGAAGAAATATAAACAGAGAAAAAGCTATTGATCGAAAAATTAGGAGAGCGAAAGAGAGAGTATAAGAGAATGTATGATAGGTATTTTCCAGAGAGCAAGAGAGAGAGAGAGAGAGAGAGAGAGAGTGGGAGTGAGTCAGAGAGGGAGAGAGAGAGGGACAGACACAATGTGATAAAGCGAGAAAAATAGAGATAATATTACTGAGAAAGAAGCGGTGGAAGGGACAACGATAGCGAACGGAAATGATAGTAGGAAACGAAGACAGTGGCAAACAATGAGTGAGTGAGAGAGAAAGAGAGAGAAAAGTAAAAGACCGTGTGACTTACGTGCCTGGGGGAGAATCTCAAATGTTGATATCTAAAGAGAGAAGGAGTGAGAGAACACTGAGAGAACGATAGAGAGGTGTTCTGAGAGAGAAAAACAAGCGAGAGTGCCTGAGTCAGAGGGAGAGTTTGAGGAGAAATAGTTGTTTTCACGGGAGGGAGCAGAGAATATAATGAATCAGCTTTAGAGAGAAATAACTGGGTGTGAAAGAGAGGATGGCGGTGCAGTTTATTCAAGATCAAAGCGATCGGAATTAAATAAATAAACATTATCTAAAAATAATGATTGCTAGAAAAATGATTAAAAGAAAGCATTAACTTTCCAAAGCGAGAACAATGCAAGAAGCTTTTTCCCTCCACCACCTCACACCTCTCATCTCTTTTTCTTCCGTTTCTTCCTAGCTTTCCATATCCCCAGCGAAAAAGACAATCTGTTTTTGAAGTAAATTCATCATGGAACACCTCGGGCACGTCTCTGGCATTTTCTAACATTTTTTTCTTTTTTTTCTTTGTAGCTATTTTTTTTAATGGTATTTCGTTGTATATTCCACTATTCCAGTCGAATTCAGTATGTCTCAATTTGACTTGCTATTCGAATTCTTGTCTTCGGCTGGTTTTGTATCTTTTGTTATGGCAGATACCATCCTTTAATAAACCAGCCAGCTGCAGCCTTCTTAGATGTGTCACATTGTATCGACACTGCCTTCCTATCTAAAATACTGTTTAGGACTACATTTTGCATCCTTTGGCTTTATAGAAAATTATAATTATAATAAAGTGCTGTGTGTAAGTTAGGGCGTGGCTAAGAATGAAAAGAATGAAAGTTTAGGAATTGTGGGGTTTGGTCGAAAACAAAAAGTCTCCTTGCACGCTTGTGTTTCGGCACGAAAATAAAATGCATAGAATTTCGATAAAGATACAAAGGATCTGAATGTAGGTAATTAGTGGAATTTATATGTATAAATGATGAAAGAGAAAATGGACGTAAAGTATTTGTAGACTAAATGAAGAAAAAAAGTGAGAATGGACAAAAAAATTCCTAGACTTGAACAAACGAAAAGAACATAAAGTAGAGTTTTAAAGAGAAAGAAAGAAAGAAAAAAGAAAAAAAAAAAGAAAGAAAAAAAAACGATATATAGGATGGAGAGAAAGAAATAAAATATTAAAGGGGGTGGGGAGGTTGTAAGAAAGCGAAAGAAAAAACAGAGAAGGAATAAAAATAGCAAGAATAAAGAAAAAGAAAAATTGAAATAACGAAGGAAGAAGAGAGAAAGAACGAAAGAAAATTTCATGAAAAGAATGAAAAAAAAAAAAAAAAAGAAATGGAATAGGGAGTGAAATAAATCGTAAACTAATAAAACCAGGAGAACGAAAAAATACTTTCAGGAAGGAAAAGCAGAAGGGAATTAAAACGAATGAATGAAAACATGTCTGTTAAAAGAAAGAAAGAAAGAAGGAAAGAAAGAAAGAAAGAAAGAGAGAAAGAAAGAAAGAAAGAGAAACAAAAAGAAAGAGAGAAAAAGAGAAAGAAAGATCTGAGAAATTGGTTGATTTTGTTTAGCGGCATATTAACCTCTATTCGTTATTTAATATTGAAATTCAGATATTTTGAACACAATTTTATGGCTTCAACTACAGATAAAATTTGTTGTTGGTCATTTTTGTTATAAAATATATTTGTAATTTTTACGATGAAAATGTATTGCTGGTATTTTTACTGTAAAAATAGATTTTTATACCTTTATAGAGTTTTGTTTTTGTACAGGGTGGGGGTACTATTTGTTGGAAACATAACAGGTTCTACCACCCCGGGTCAGGGTGGACTTGGGAACAACAACAAATAAAAGGTGATTCCACGCCCCTCAAAACCTCCAATTTCTTGAACATGCTTTCGGATGTACTTTATCGTCATATCCAAGACTAACTGAGAAATGAAGGATCCATTGAGCGAAATAAATATGTAAATAAAACAAAGAAGAGAAGAAATGTAAGAAAAAAAAAAAAAGAAATATTAAAGCAAGAAGTAAAGAAAGAAAATAAATGAAATACGTGGAGAAATGGCTGAAAAATTTTAATAAATAAAATAAAAGAAGTGTTTAATAAAACTGAAAATGAAAACAATAGATTTCATTATAAGCTGATACAATTACAATTATGATCTTCACGAGAAGCCCCATAATTACTACCCGACCAAGCTTAGTCTATATCAGGGGTCAGCAACCTTTTGGAGAGAGCGAGCCAGAAACTATGCAGTATCTCGGAGGAGGGCCATAATACCAAATGTACTATAATAAATTGTCTTGATCTCGGACCGCTCCGTCCAGAAGGCTGCTTTAGTCTAGTTAATGTTATATTATTTGGAAAAGGTTCCTTATTTTACGGTAGGAGTAACAGGATAACAACAAACAATCAACAAAAATGCAAGTTTCTTAATCCAAACAATATACAATTAAAAATAACGAATTATTTCATGAGACAATACTTTCTGCTCATTGTCGATAGCTTCTACACATCACTTTTAATATTTGTTGATGACAGTGAAAAACAGCATTTCAGTTGCTCATCACCAAACCTTTTTCTTAAACGACTTTTAGTATATTTCATTTTTGGAAAAAGGTGTTCATAAGCATATGTACTTCCAAATAATGATATCATCATTTTCGCATTATTTAATAGGCTTTTATATTTTCCGCTTGTCAAAACATATTTCTTGTAGAAGTCGGCAGTGGATTCGGAATAAAATTTTGATTTCAAAAATTTATCGCATTGTAAATCGATTAACTCCAACTGATATTTTTCTGCCACTTACTCCACAAATTAATTAGGAATTTAGTGTCCAAATGTTAAGTTGGCGGACTGAACAAGAATCTTTCGATAGCAGGATTTGGCCCGGGTTGCAGACCTCTGTTCTATATCAATATGCAGGGAATTGTCTGAAAGGCCAGTAGTAAAAAAACTTAAAACCATTACAACTGTACAGAAGTCGATCTTAACTGAGTGGCAGCCGTAGGCTTAAAATACCTAGGCGCCTAAACTACAGTGTAACCCGGATATAAGAAAGATTTTCTCTGGTTCCAATTTAGAGCCTGTGTTAATGTATATAAAATAGACCAAACCCGGATATAAGAGAAACCCGGATATAAGAGACTTCTTCTCCGGTTCCGACAACTTTCTTATATCCGGGTTACACTGTATATAGAGTTAGTAAGCTAGTCTGAATCGATTGCGGTCATTAATTCTTACTTTATTTTCTGGAACCCCGCCACTCCCAGGTTATAAGAAGGCGCCTGGCTCATGACCTGGTGCCTGAGGCATAGCTAAAAGTGGAAGTGCAGAGGGGACTGAACTATATTTAAACATCAGTCTTGCGAGGAACTCCCCACTTTAAACTCGGTTTGATACTACATTAAGTCCGAAGAAGCATAGGGATAAATGTCGTCGCTTTTACTTGGCCTACAAGCTGGGATGAAAGGGCAGTATATGTTCTATCCCTCCAGCCAACACACTCTTCAGGTAGTGTACGAAAAAATCTTTTAGAGATGACTGGTACCGGGGATTCTAACCATGCAACACCACATGCCTCATTGCACTTACGAGGAATGGTAAGTCATCTTGATATTGGTTGGGAGTCGGGCTAATTTTTGTCCATGGTCCCTATGTCGCGTGTGGGCATCCATAAACTTATCAAACTAACGGAATATCAAACCAAACTCAACAAAGTGACGTAATAACATATCAAACTTACCAAACTGACGTAATATTACCAAACCGAAAGTAATATCACATCCTGCCACCGTGATGAAACTGGATAAATACCGACCAATATTACTGTCGTGATTGTAAAATGCTTTGAAATAGTGGGCTTCTGTCAGACGTAATGTAAATAGATATATGGTGTATAAGACTTAAAACAGCGCCAACTGAACTAATAATGGGGATGTTTTATGTAACATATTATTTCCAGACATGAGCGATCATGTATCTTCACAACTTCCTGTCTTTTGTTGCTATAAATAACTTTTGTCTATACATTCTTTTCCTTACTTGATAGCAATTCACTCAAACTCGTTAAATAAGATATCCCCCCCCTCTCTCTCTCTCTCTCTCATATATATATATATATATATAAGTAATTTCTGGAGCAGTATATGGTGAGAAGGGTTCAAAAGTTTCTTTCTCACAAGACATATTGCCAGCAAGATAGGCAGAAGAACAAGGTAAGTAACTTACCTAATGAGATT